AAAAAATATGTGAGTTCGACATTTGAAACATTAAACTAGGAGAAAAATAAAATAAAATAAAATCCGGGCCGGGGGTGGGGGCGGTCAAATTACTAAGCTCATGTACCAAAGGGTAAATTTGGAATTTTACATGTATGTAACATAAAATAGTTTGGAAAATTGTTTCATGTGGGTTGGACAGCATTTTTATATATGCAGTCCAGAAAGTGTAAAGCATCCATAATGCAGTTCAGAGAAAGTGTAAAGCATCCATGTTAAAGATGGATGCAAGCAGGTATTCTACCTAAAAACAATAGAAACTAACGATCCACATGTTTACTTACTAGAATTATTATTTTTAGTTTTAAAATTTTATTTATTTTTTCATGTTTATGATCTCCATATTAGAGATTACATGTTTTTAAAAATTAAATCTTAAAATCTATCATAAAAATAAATTTATTAAGAGGCCCGCATTTCTATCGATGCGGGCTTGGCCGCATAGAAACTGGGTCCAATAGTTTTGGGAACGTTCAGGTGAACAATCACCAACTTGGCTGGTTGCGACAAGGGACACTAACTTACTCCATTATCTTAGGTAAGTGTAGCATATTCGAAATGCATTAGTTGTAGGTAGATGGAATTTATTTGTATATTATAAGCCTATAAGCCCACGTCTTGTTTATTTATTAGCTATATGATTAGCACAATGCCAAGTACTGTTTATTTGAAACCCCAAACATTTGTATGGTGAGCCTTTTTTTTTTGTTTTTGGTAGGTGAAGTATATTAGTTTAGGATCAATAACTTGTCTTTTAAGTTAGTGGACTTTGATTTGGCAGCCTACAGGGTAATATCCTAAGTCATGACAATAGAGTCAAGAACAAATATGGTTTAGTTTTAAATATGTTGTCGTTATAGTGGTAGCAAGTACAACATTTTTTTCATTATGCATATGGCATTTAGCCAAAAGATATTATACTCTCACGAGAGTATATTGCATTTAATCTCATGTGGAATTAATTTTAGGACCTCAAATAGGGATGCAACTACTTCAACCCATAAACTAACCTCAATCAAAGAATTGAAAATTGCACACTCTGTGCACTTAACAAAGATAATGTCTAAAAATTCAATAGAGAATGTTTAGTTTTTAGAAGGTGATATCTAAGTACCAAAAAATTCAAGTTTTGAATTTTTTATTATTTTTTTTAAGAATAATCATCTAGTTAGTCATTCCTATGTGGTTCTCAATATTGAAAGAATATTCTCAAGTGGGTCTTTTAACCGAGGGAGTAGATCTACACTATGCTCCCACCAGAGCATAGTATACAACATCTGTCATTTAATTTTAAACAAGCAAATTAAAGCGCACCTCCGAATTTTTTTATAAGATGTAATTTTGGTGTTAAAAATTCATTGGATGGCTTGAAAATCTATTTTCGTTTCTAATTATAAAATTTTAAACTCCAAAAAGGGTTCAAATCAAATTGATCTATAAATATATGAAAATTTTGAAACTGGACGGTCAAGATAATAGGTTGCAAGATGCGCTATTTTTAATACTCGAAATATTTTTTTATTTTCATATTCATACATCTCGATATCGTGACTTTCTCAACATTAAAACAACCTTTTTCTTATAGATTTTTGACATTACCAAAGAATTTTCATTAAGTCACTAGAAGGAAGTAACTACCAAAACAAGATCGACGTACTCCTTTAGCAAGACAATCAGTCCCCCCACATACTTTCTCCCTAGTATATGACTGCGATAGTTAAGTAAAAATGTGCATGTTTAATGAGATGATAATGGATGAGCCTCAATAGATTACTCAAATAGCATTGGTTAGTTAAAAAATACTTTGATTCCCTAATTTATGAATCGATCAATTGTTTGTTGTTGAAATGGAGACAAATCAATTGACCTTTTCTCCAATGTTTTATAAGAAATGTTTTATAAGAATTTGGGTCAACATTCATTCATGCTACTGTGGCAGTACGAATGCTTGAGCATCCAGAAGATTTCGTCTTTGAATATTCCCACGTATCTTCCGTTCTTTATGGCCGTATCCAAGTCGCCATCAGCTTCTGTTTATTCTTAATTGTAGTCTAAATATGAAAAATGTCAGTTAGGTTCCTATAAAAATATGCACGAATTATTTCTTGGTTGTATTACTGGAAGTCCCCTTTTCTGGATTCATCTCATATAAATAACTTGATTTCCTCCATGTATAGGTTGTTTTAGACATACACAATGAATAATTGAATTCCTAATATGACCCATAATAATCTATATTCCATAGAGGAAAATTGTTTCATATGTACCGGACTGCATTTTTGCATATGCGGTCCAGAAGTGTAAAGATGGATGTAAATAGGTTGCCCATTTAAAAACAATTGAAACTAACTGTCCAAATATTTTTTTAATAGAATTATTATTTTTAATTTTTTAAATTATTTATTTTTTCATGTTCATGATCTCCATGTTAGAGATTAAATGTCCTTAAAAATTAAGTCCAAAAATCCCTCTCAAAAATAGATTTATTAAAGGACCCACATTTTTACATGTGCACGCTTGGCCAGTATGCTAACCCCGTCATGTTGATTGTTTCGTTGCCTAAAGTTTACATTTACCTACTAAAACATCAACTGTTTCTATCTATGATCCAAGCATCACAATTCTAGTTCTTCTAAATTATGGGGCAAATGATAATTTTATTTTGAGTTCCTAAACATTGTCTTGGTTCATTCTTAGAAAGTCATCTTTTTTGTAGCTCATATAGAGTGTGTTAAATTTTTTATTATTTATTTTTTTTAGGTTAATTTTTTTTTTTTTGGTAATTAAGTGGAGATGACGAGCTCCTACCTGTTTTTTGAAATTATTAATGGTTTTTTAATGCGTTCGGTGAAAATGAAAGTCTAAATCATAGCTTATCGGGAAAATTTAATGTCCTAACAATACTGAGGTTTTACATTAGGAAGTAAATAGACGATGTGTTCCAACCAGAGCATAAAGTCATTTGGAAAAATTATTTTCTAGATTTATTCAATGCTCTTTCTTTGGGATATTAATATACCCTCGGTCTAATGCTCTATTATTCTCGTTACAAAATATATATATCGCCCATTGTTCTCAAAATCGCCCAATCTAACTGCTAACCGCCCAGTTAGATCGGAGGGCAATTAGGGTGATCAACCAGTATTTAAAAAAAAAAATCAAAAATATATATATAAATTCTCAAAAATAAGGAATTTGATTTGTAATGCATTTTTAAATATTCTTTACATTATGGTAAAGATTAAAAAAAAAAATTGGTCATTAATATTCACTTTTATATTTTCCCATCTTTTTTAGAAATTTTAAAAATAGCCCTTGGAAAATATAAAATGGGTTAAAATCTATTTTTTTTATTAATTTTCAACTTTAGCTGGATGTGTTTTGTTTTAATTATTTTTTATATGTTTTTTATATTTTAGTAGATTTTTTTGTGTTTTTTTATTTTTTCAACACTTTTTTGAAGGCCTGAGACTTGTCCAATTAGAACGGTTGAATCGGCTGATTTACCAATTAGGCCGGTGAAACCGCTTCGAGACCTCTGTCCAGTTAACAAATCCGATTCGATTTTGAGAAGACTGATATCGCCTCTCTCATATGTATACTCCCTTTTTATGGAGATGCTGGCTCTCTGTCTCCCTTTCGTCCTATCTCTCTTATTTCGTCTCCTCCCTCTTTTTGTTCTCTCTCATTTATTTTTAGGAAAATTACAAAACGCATTTTAAAATAGACTGTCTATGCAACTTACCCCACCACAGTCTTTTCTCTCACTTTTTTCCTCGAACAACCTTTACTCGCAAATAACCCCCAACCCAAAAGTAGTATGAAATAAGGCTAAACTACATTTGTTTATTTTCACACAACCTTCTCTCTCCTGTTTTCACAGGCACTCCGGTAGTATGCTCCGGCATTTTGAATGTGCGCTCCGACAATGCAGGTCTGACCCACAACACTCTGTCATTATGAGAACTCACTCGGGTAATGCAAAGACGCGCTACGGCATTCCGCTCCGGCAATGAAGTCTTTGGAGCCATAGTGCTCCGGTAATAAAGTCTTTGGAGCCACAACGCTTCGACAATGAAAGACTGCGCTCCGACAGTATGAACTAGCGCTCTCGGTCCGACAAGGTAGGTCTGAGCCACAGCGTTCCAGCAATGAAGTCTTTGAGAAAAAATTGGGGTGGGATATCTTGCATAGATAGTGAATTTTAAGATATTTTTTTTTTATTTTTCACTTTTTGTCCCTTGTACGGTGTACGTCTATATTATCGGGGTACCTCTTCACCATCTCATACTACCTGGTGAAAAAGAAAGAAAATGTGCCGTTTGTATAGAGCCGAGGCTCTAAACAATCAAAGTAAAACACACATTCAAATAGTTTTAAGAAATATAGTTTCAATATCAAAAACCTTTGTAATAGCTTTAAAATATTTTTTTATATTTAAATATAAAATTTCAAGCTTAAAAAATTAGGTTAGATAGAGTATATCTATGAAAATTTGAAAATATTGAAAATTGACTGTCCAAAAATGCATTCCAAGATATACTATTTTAAAATTTTAAAATTTTAAAATTTACTTGCTTCTCATATAGATGTGTCTTATAGATGTGTCTTGATGTTGAGATGATCAAATTGAAGATATTTGAACATCAAAGCTCTGGGTGAAATTTTTGAGATGGGTTGAAATTTGATTGTCTAAAGCTTAGGCTCCATAAAAACTTTTTTAACTCCGGTATTGGAGAGCTATTCATACCGCCTCCGTCATCTTTGTCTGCAAGTGTAATCTCCACCTCATGTGATACGTGGTGCTCTCTTTCTCTCTCATCGGAGAAGAGAGATCCTTGAACCTTAACCTTAAAAAACGTAGGCCGCACGTATGCCTTGTCCTTTTCCACACGGTCACTCCTCAAGTTTCAAACTTCCCACCACACCAAATATGAACCTTCCCCTTCTCCTCTCTCTCTCTCTCTCTCTCTCTCTGTCTCTACAATGCGCCCCTCCTTCCTCACCTACGACATCACCCTCTCGGTCGTGTGCGTCTCCCTCGCCCTCCTCGTCCTTTGCCTCTTCCTCCTCTGCAAAGCCAGAAACAGGCTCCCCCAACCCTCCGATCCCGAATCCCCCACCCCGTCTCACCGCCCATGCGCCACACCATGGCCCCTCCAAACCCTCCACTCCGCCACCCAAGCCTTCAGCTCCAACCGGGCCCTCGGCCACGGTCGTCTCGGCACCACCTACCGAGCCATCCTACCTGATGGCCTTGTTGTTGCCGTCAAGCGTGTTGACCCCCAGCTTGTGCTCGCTCGTGCAGGCCATAGCTTCTCGGCCGAGATCAAATCCCTCTCTCGAGCCCACCACCCCCATGTGGTGCCCATCCTCGGCTATTGTGAGGCACCGGGCGAGCGCCTCATCGTGGCGGACTTCGCACCCCTGAAGAGCCTCGAATTCCACATCCACAGCAATCAGGGCACAGCGCTGAGCTGGGCAACACGCGTCCGTGTGGCCTCCGAGGTGGCGCGCGGGTTGGACTATTTGCACAACGGCACCGCTCCACCCATTGTACATCGTGCAGTAAGGCCCTCGAATATAGTGTTCGGAGCGGGCATGGTCGCCAGGGTTTCCGACTACGGCCTCGCGCCGATGTTTGGTGTGGAAAGCAATGCAAAGGCCGGGTGCTGGTATCGGGACGGGGAGGGGATGGCGAGTAAGGCCGGCGACGTATACGCGTTCGGGGTGATTTTGATAGAATTGATGAGTGGGAGGAGGTTAGAGAGAGAAGAGGTGAAGGAGTGGGCATTGAGGTTGATCAGGGAGGGGATAGGGAGAGAGATGGTTGATGAGAGGCTGAGCGGCGATGCTGAATCTGAGGAAGTGGAGAGGATGGGGAGGGTGGCGTTGGCGTGTGTGGGGAATAGTAGGCAGTGCAGGCCTCCTATCGGGCAGGTTGCTGCCATTTTGAACGATTTATGGGAGAGGAGACAAAGGATGGGTGATGGTAGAAACAGATAGCGGTGTTTTCCGGCAGCGGCGCTGCATTTCGGGGAGCGGAGAGATCATTCCTTTTGTTTTTTTTTTTTTCCCCTTTTTTTTAAATATTCCATACACATAGATCGGCCGTATAACATTGACTTATTTGTTACTACAAAAGTAAAGTATTGGTTTGATCTCTAGAGGGGGGAGAGCCCCCTGCCTCGCCTGGAAGTCCAAAACCATGCACCATATGTGCATGTGAAAGAAAGAGAGGAGGATCACGGTTTGTAAATGGTAAGATGTAAACATTATAACGTGAGAGAACATAGATTGACCTTATAAGTTGTTCCCTTACATTACAAGTTGTTGCCATGTGTTCCGTCGAAAAGATGGAATGAAAAAAATAAATAAATAAAAATCTTTTTTTACGTGAATGACATAATTACTTCTATCCATTAGATGTCGAATAGCATAGTTTAATGCTTTACGAAGTTTGAAAACAAAAATTTGAACTTTTTGAGTCCAAATTGCATAGCTTAAAACATCATGAAATTTCAATTTAAAATTCAATGGACAACGGTGATTGTTACCTCCTTAGATTGAAAATAAACGGCATCTTTATATATTTTTCCATAAATGATAATTTTCTGTTAAAAAAAAAAAGTTAGGACCTGAATTTTAAATTGCTTGCTTCAAGTTCCTCATGCGCAGCTCTACTAGTGCATGCGCCGTCCAAAGTCCATCTTGGACATAATTCTGAGTTCAATTTTTCAAAGGACATATATTTAGAAAAGATAAACAAGAAAAAATATTGAGAATTGAGAAAATAGTTTTTTTATTTTGTTGGGCCGTATATTTTAATTCTTCTAAAATCATCCGATCTATTGGAAGTCCAAATTCATGGATCTATCTAGAGTGAATTAAGATGTCTCTTGGATACCCCACTACGACAAGGCCACGTTAGGAGGGTTTGTTTGACTACAAAACTCTCACATCACATTTATTCATCTTTAAGATTAACTTAATGGAAAAAGTTTATATAAGGCTGTAACTTTAAAAAGTAGAATTATAGATGCACTTCAAAAATCCATGGAAAAAGATTGTTTTACTATTGAAAAATTCTCTAATTGATCACCTTGACAACGAGTTGTATGAATACATATAAAAAAAAGATTTTGGGTTTCAAAAATAGTGCATAACACATTATCTAGACTATCCATTTTCAAGATTTTCATAGTTTTATAGATCTACTCTACTTCAACTATTTTTGGAGTTTTAAATTTTATAATTAAATATAAAAATAGATTTTGAGATAATCCAAAAAACTTTTTACACCAAAATTACATGTTATAATAAACTTTGGAGGTTTGCCTTAATTGGATTGTTTAAGATCGCAACCTTATAGAAACCACACCCTAGTTTAATACATAAAGAGTTTTACTTGGAGCCCAAAACTTGATCCAAATCAATTTCCCCAACCAAGATTACCTCTTGATCATCGATTTGATAGACGATCAAATCTAAAACTTTAATCAATTCCTCTTTTCTAGAAATTGATCATAGGGCAGAAAAAAGATTATTTAAAAATTTCATGTGGCCCATAGGAAAAACCTTATCCAGATGTTTGGCCAATGGTACGGACCGGATTTACAATTTGGTCTTCCTGAACTAACATCCATGCACTCCAAATAAAAATTTACAATATGCTCGTGGAATTCTCATCATCATTGTCATCAAAGCTTTTTTCCAACTATTTGAAGTCCGCTATATGAGTACCAATCCATCATTCTGCTCATCAATTAAAATTATATTATTTTTTCTCATCATCATCGTCATCAAAGCTTTTTCCCAACTATTTGAAGTCCGCTATATGAGTACCAATCCACCATTCTGCTCATCAATTAAAATTATATTATCTTTTACATATTTTGAAAGAATTAAATCAATTGAGATGATTTGTTGACTTAGTCGCCATCCACCTCCTAATTTTCCCATATTCTAAAGCTAGTTATTATGGTTTAGGTTGTAGTTAGGTTAGAAATCTACTCCACCGACACCTCTTTTCTAGGAAAGCAAGCGTAAGGGAATAGGAGGCCAAAGATAATGAAAAAGGGAAAATAGTATTTCTGTGTGGAAATTAGGGCCTCTTCTCCTATTTTTGAGCAGCAATATACAAAATATATTGCAATGATCTATAGGATTAAAAGCAAGATCCAAGTTAAAATCATAGTAGCCAATTATGCCTTGATGGGTCACATGAGCTTTGGGAGAAGCAACACAATTTGGGGTGCATGGAAATGATTTTCATTTAATAGGAAATTTATCAAAATATGCATAGTAGTGTCAACTCATGATTTGTACTTTTTTTTATCATGTATGTTTTGAAGCGATTTTTGAAATTAAAGACAACGGATTAAATAGCTCATCTGTGAGGTGAATTTTGGTAAATTTTCCTTATTTTAGTTTAATTTTATTTTCGCAACTGCTTTGACCTTATTGAATTGAATTGTTTTTTGTTATTGAATTTATTGAGTTTTTTAAATGCTACATAATTTTTTATAGGATTCTTCAGATTTTTCATTATCAAATCAAGCCTTTCTCAGTTTTCCAATGGGATTTTCTGGGAGCATGTTTCACAATGAGATTTTTTTGCAGCTTGTTTTGCCTAAATCTGATTCAGAAAAGAGAGAGAAGAGAGGAAGTAGTTGACTAGGAAATTTTTGGTGAGTTTTTGAAAGTTTGGGTCAAAATTAGGGTTTTATAGAAAAAAATATAAGAGGTTTAGAGATGGAGAAAATTGAAGAGTAGGACCATGTTTTATAAAAGCACTAGGGTTCTCATGTGTTTGGACAGTGGGGTCGTTCTCTTTGATACAATTATAGTAGGGAAAAAGTTTATATAAGGATACTACCTTATAATGTAGAACTACAGATACCCCTCAAAAATCCATTGGGAAGGTAGTTTTAATGTTGAAAAACCTTTTGATTGATCATCTCGATGTCAAGATGTATGACTATGAAAAATAAAAAGATTTTAAGTCTCAGAAATAGTGCATTTTACAACATATTGTCTACACCGTCCATTTTCAAGATTTTCATATGTTTATAAATCTACTTGATTTTAACCATTTTTAAAATTTAAAATTTTATAATTAGATATAAAAATAGATTTTGAGACAATCTTAAAAATATTTTACATCAAAATTATATACCATGATAAATTTTGAAGGTGCACCACCATACTCTACACCTATGGATGCATCCGTATGCAAACTGCACCCTTATAGTAGGAGTGTTTGGTGATACCACCAATTCACTCCAAGTTGAGGATTTGTTGTGAGGTAACTCTTTAATTAGGGGGATAGTTTAATTTTTCTTTTTAAAAATAGATTAATACTAGTGTTTTGAAAATTGTTTAGTCAGATTGGAATCGCTCAATCTAGATCGACTCCAGGGTCGATATTGAAGAACACCCGGTTATGCTAGAAAACTAGATGATCCTATTGGGGAATCGTAATTTGAATGTGTGATTCCCTAACATAAAACCCCCATTTTGCCATTCTCATTGATCCTCCGTCATTTATTCACCCAAAATCACTAGTGTCAAAACATTTGTTTTTGCGTCCTCTTTCACATCTTTACAATCACATTTCAATAAAAATCAAAATCTACGATCAAGAGTAGAATTCGGGGCTTTTTTAACCCGAAAACGAAATCTTCTTTCTTATCTTTCAACAACTCTTATCTAATATTTCTTATATTATTTATCTATCAAAGATCTAGAACAGGCGTTGTACCACTTTCTTCAATTCTCTTATTTTTTTATATATGAGCATGTAATACTATGATCCCTCGTGAGCATATGATACATTTAATCCCTTTGACAAAACACCTATTTAGGAGTTCTTTAAAAAAAAAAAACATTGGATCCGTGTGATTATAATAGATGATTACTTTTAAAATAAAAATGGATCTTGAGTTTTTGAACATCTAGATCATTCCCTCTAAAATTTGGATGGTTCCCGTCCAATTATGGGATGCCATTTTCTTTAGGCACATAGAGAGTGAGAGTTGATTTTTTTTCTTTCTCTGGGGTTGGTTGTCCGGTTCTAGAGATCATATCCCAAAATTTGGGGTCTAAAAGATATTCCTAGTGTACGTTTTGGCCAAGGGAGTAAATGGATAGTGTACACTCATGGGATTAGGAAATCATTTGGCTTTATATATTTTCTCTATCAAACTCACCTTTCTGCTCGTTTTTCACTGCTCTAGGAGATCTTACTTTTTTTGGATCTATTCTCCTATTCGATAAATTCAAAAGATGATTTTTCATTTTGAGTTCAATTTTTTGAATTTAATGTAAGTGTGTTTATTTGATTTAAACAATTATTTGAAACGGTTGATTTACTTTTCATGTATGTTGATTTAGATTTTAAAACCATTTTTTGAAATGATATGTTTAGTCTGATTTAAATTATTTTTTGAAAGGTGAAACCATATTTTCCCCAAAATCGCAATTTTCAAAAAAAAAATTATGTTTTTTACCTCGACTTTCAGTCTCTACTCCATTTTAGGGTCCTAAATATCCTAGATTGGGTTTCACGTGAGGGAGAAACATATCCAAGGAGGTATTCTTGGCAGCATTACTATATTTCTTACATGATGTAATATTTCTAAATTCCGATTAATCTATAATTATAAGAAATACCATTGAAGTAAGACGCATCTCAAAACTCCTTTAGAACAGAGTTTATTATGTCGGAAAACCCTTTAATTTAAGAACTTCAAGTCTTAAAAATATTTTATCATGTAACAAAATCTTCATGACCATCTATTTTAGAAATTTTTAAATGTTTATAGATCTACTTGAGCTTTATTTTTTTCAAATTTTAAATTTTATAAGTAAGGATAAAAAAATTTTTTCTTAGCCATCATAAAGTTTCCAACGGCACAACTTTATCCCCAACTAAAAATTTAGAGGTGCGACTTGCCTGTACAGTAAAAAGAGGGCGCCCTATAAAAGATGGCGCGCCTTAAACAAAACCTCACCCTTCTAAGAATAGCAGTTTACTTTCCACTTGTATAATAAATCATATTAGTTTTATTGCGCATATTATTTATATTTGATAATTGAACTTAATTTATAGTTTTCATTTACCGATGGTTTAGTTGTGCCATTTTAAGCAATTATAGTGAAGCACAAAGAGAAAAAAGAAAAACGAAGACAGATGCTATACAGATTAGAAAGAAAATTGATTACGTACGAATTCGATTATGGACCAATTAAAATCAAGAGATTAAGAGATGTCAAAACAATCACCTTCTAAACTTTTTAGATTTCTATATGTTGAATTACTATTTAAAATAATTTATGCCATTTAAGATAAGTGCTTCAAAAATTGGAAGTTCAAGTCGGAACCAAACCCTGC